TTGCTATATAATCTAATTTCCCTACAATTAACACATATTAATTTTGTAATGAGAAAAAAAGTTTTCTTTAAAGAATCATAGCAGACATGGTCATGAAATAAATATTTTGGCTAATTTTTAAATGAAGGTTTCATTATTTGATGAATCTCAAATCTTAGCCACAGAACTCGGAGAGAACAATTCCAGCCATCCTGAATTATTCCACTCATAACATCTTTAGGAGGAAGCCCTTCCAGCACCTCATTTTCTTTTCCCTTCAGCCCTACTTCCCATTCTGCCCCATGCAGAGAAAGTTGCTACCATTCTTCATGAAAACATTCTTCAAAAGTTATGGAGGAAACATTGAGCTTTAATTTCTCTATCCTGGCTCCTTCTGGGCTTCTCGGATTTCTAATTTTTATCCCTTTGAATCTTTTACATGTCTTCCTCTTGATTATGCCACTTTTCCACAAATGTCACTCACACAAGATTTAGAATAGTGGTTCTTAACGGGGGTGATGGTGCTGCCTCCCCCCTCGCAAGAGACCTTTTTGGCTGCCCCACTCAGGGACTGTGGGGACACAGGTGTGCTCCTGTCATCCAGCAGGTGGAGACAGGGATGCTGCTGAGCTAGAGGGCCCAGGACTGCTCCCATGAGAGGGAATGATCCTTCCCTAAACATTAGTGGGACTGCAGCTGAGAAACCCTGGATTAGAATTACCAAGAAAGGACAAGTTGATAGCTGAAATGTGCTATATTTCCAGACATTCTGAAGAGTTCCTGGTGTATAATGTGCCAGAAGATCTGCTTCATTATAAATCCCTTAAATGGAGGCTACTGACCCTCAGAAGTACAACGGCCCGCCATGCATACACTATCCCTGAAGCAGACACAGGAAACTGCTAAGGGCTGGGTCAGAGGTGGGTGGGAAATTCCAGAAGTTTGAGATGCACTACCTAGTTTTAAAACAGACACTTCCAAGCCCATTATACACATGCAGCACGTGCCCAGTGCACAAACATGCTCATCTCCACACTGTCATTTCATTCTTGGGGTGGTGAGTTGACAGCAAGAAAGCAGGATAAGGCTATACCTCCCCCCCCCCACACACACACATTGCAGACAGGCATAAAGGCCACCTTGCCATCAGCCACCTGCTCCCCTGGCTGGAGTACCCTGCGGTCAGACTGAGTCCAACACCCAATGCCCCAGCTTCTACCCCAGGCACTCACTGACCCTGACCATCCCCTCTAGTTTGTGCTTGGTCCCAGCTCCATAGGGCCCCTGAGCTCTTGGAGGGAGTGAGGAGCTGCATCTACCTGTCTTTGCAAGCCCAGCAGTAAGCACTGCCTCAAGGACACAATGTTTTATACTCCAGAATAAAACTGTCCTCAAATGTTCTCAACCAAAAATTAGCACCTTTACTCATACATCATCTCGCCATATTGTGACTAAATTACAATATTACTGTCTGTGCTATTTACTGCCAAGTCTCTGTAAACCTTAATTTTCCCTTCTGCAAAATTGGAGAGAGGCAGGCTGAATAATCGTATCCACCATTTGGGGGCATTGTGCAGGATCTGCAAACAGGAAGCAGAGCCTTCCTGGAACAGGAGACGCCAAGAAAAATGTATCCCCCATATACAATTATCAAAACAGTCTCCCATATTTTAAACCAAGTGGAGAAAGTTAATGAAAGCTCTACAACCAACACACATACACGCTACATATAAAGCCCCACATGGCCAAGTTATGGGGGGGAGGTAATCTAATTAAAGTACGGTGTGTTCATGTAAGAAATACCATAGCAAAACCCCTTTGAATACTGAATACACACTTAAAAAATGAAGGACAGGAAGGTAAAATAGGTCCTGTCCAGGGGTGGGTACAGTGGGAGGAGGGAGGGTGAATGGAGAGGTGAAGGAGGGTGAATATATATATGTACTTCATATACTTGTATGAAAATAGAACAACGAAACCTTTTGGAGTTATTTTAAGAAGGAGGGGAGGGGGTGGGGGACAATGACGGAGGAAAGGAGTCTAATCAAGGTTCATCATAAGCATATATGGAAATGCCACAATGAATTCCTCCTGTACAACTAACATAAGCTAATAAAACGTTTTTTAAAAAGTCTCACATGGCTGATGGAGTGACCCAAGTGGTAGAGCACCTGCACAGCAAGTGCGAGGCCCTGAGTTCAAACCCAGTACCGCCAAAAAAAGATAAAGAAGCCACTCACTGCCCAATATATTTGCATGCCGTTGTCCATCCATATAAGCCCACCTTGGGGGCCATGAGAAACAATGTAACTCCTAAGTCCCGGCTCATTAGAAATGGCCATTACCCTTGAATAGTAACGCAGATCCCTCAACAGCAGCCTATTTTTAAATTTGATGTGTTTGTACATTGTGTATTTTTGCATTGTTTTCAGCAAATGTTTTATCTTTATCACTTTTTTGGTGCCCCTTTAAGTTTCCAAGGCAAGTGCCTCTCTTGCCTCCTCCAAATTTCAGCCCTGACTATCTGATAAATTATTCTATAAATATTGAGTCTTATAAAACTTGGAAGCTAGGGCCCTATTTCACCTGTCTTGTGGCTTCAGTTTTGTTGTCTGAATACATTGTCTCCAGTGAATGAATGAATGAAATGAACTAACGAGTTCCTCTCACATCTGTCTTGCAGCTCTGCACATAACTAATGTCATAAAAGATTTGGTGAGTAACTAAGTGATGTGGAATAGCTGTGTTTGTGGATATATCACAGCAGACATCTGAAAACCTAGAACTTGGACCGTACACTGACACCTATCCAAAGCGGCTGCCTTGATTAATGTTACAAATGTCAACTTTTAAAGCTGCATTTTGCATTGGAGTTCTCAGGGAGGTTACTGTTCATTCTAGGAAGCCTGAGAGAAAGCCCTAAGGAGTGAGCGGTATTGCTTCCTGTAAGAATCCGTAAGGTTTTTTCCTCTCTGAAAACTAGAACTGTATGGTTTTTCTCTTTGGATACCAGGAGACTCAGGTTGTACTAAGGCAATTCAGGAGACCATCTTCTCAAATTGGCATATGTATAATGTTGTGCCAGTTAATGCCAAAAACCCAGTGCACTGCAACGGTAGAACAGGAGGAGCCTTGTGCTATACAACATGGGCTGAGTCCCATGGTGTAAATTCACCCACCTTGGCTGGTTTCACTCTACTGAATGGAGAGTTAGAAAGTGAAGCACTGTGGCCATCATACTCTAGAATCTCCACAGGAGGAGAGTGATTCTATCACCACAGAATTCTATTAGTGCTGTAAAGCATTTCTGCTAAACGAATTCCACTGCAGTAAAACAATTTGTGTTTATTACTCTTGGGATGCTGACTATAATTTCAGGGAAGGAAAAGCAATCTGGACAGAGTGTCTGTTGATAGGACTGATGGGAAGCACAGATTCCAGAAGGTTGTGTGCCTTTAGCCACAGGACTCAGGCAAAATGCTTCCATATGCCACACAGTGGGCAGCATCTGCCTTTGGACATTGCCAGGGGCAATAAAAATATGCTTGTTTTTATTTATTTTTTGGTGTTGGGATTGCTCACACGAAGTACATGCTCTATCAATGAGCTACATTCCCAGCCCCTGTTTTTATGTATTTAAGTCTCCATAAAATTTTAATTTATTTTTTTAAAAAACACACATTTCCACTTTGTTCTTAAGGCAGGTTAGTTTAATTTTATAGAAGAAATATTTTCAAACAATACAAATGACACAGAGAGAACAGAGACAAAAACAAAGAGATGAATACTGATTATAACTTATTCCCACAACAGAAAGTTACTTATTTCAGCGATTATCACCAAAGCCTGACAATGTAGTGATTAGATAAAGTGAAACCAAATTCCCTTTTACATAGAGTGCTGTTTCTAAAAAACTCTGGTGGCAGAATTCCAATCGTTTCTGGACCAGAACTGCTCCGAAACATGGCAGACTTTCTTACAAGGCCCAGTGTATGCACAAGATAAAACAGCAGATGGAACTCCCTAAACCCATAGGACTTCACTTGTCTGACATGTGCGATGTTTTCTGGGCTGGCAGTTTTAAGTAGGCAGCAGCTGCCAAACCAGCCGTGTCATAAATGAGAAGCAAATGAGGGTGCTCAGTGTTCTGCCTGCTCAGGCCAAAAGCCCACACTGTGCATCTGCACTGAACAGCTCACCTCTCCTCCATTGTCTGGATTTTCTTTCCTTGCTACCGTTCCGCTCAGCTGCAAACACAGACCCAAGACCCAAGAGTGGAGGCAGGAAGAGGTGAAACAGAAAGGCGGCAAACCCACATGCTCCTCACTCAGCCTGATCCCAAAGCAAGGGCTGCCTGTGCTTCCTGAGGGGCAAGGGTGGGAACGCAGCACTCCACATGAACATCTGTATAAATCGGGTGATGGTATTAAATGGAAAATGCTTGTCTGGGCTTCCTTCCTGGGCACAGTGGGTTTGCCCCACACTGCTAAAAGAGAGGCCAGCAGAAAAGCTGTCTTGACCCACCAACCCACTTAGTGGCTGCCTGTGGCAGCTAATAAAAGAGAGCACCTAGGCCCTGCATCTGAGGAACCATCCCACACTGTGCCATCCCTGTGTGCAGGACTTGAACAGTCTTTCCTGCACATTCCCCTGCATCCAACCACAGGCAGCTCTGTTTGGCACAGAAAGTTCCAACAGCTTGGGGACATAGAAAGAGGTCCTGCTCAGCAATGCTGTCTGCAACTGGCACTGGCAGTTCTAAGGACCGATGCGTTGGGTCTCTACCTCTATTGTGGGTCCGTACAAAAAGGAATTGGCTAAAAAAAAAAAATCAGCAAAAAAAGCGAGACAAGAAGCAGGAATGCATAGCAGAGATGGCAGCCATGAAAAGCGTAAATTTTCAGCCTTACCACCACTGACAAATTTCATTGCCCGTGATTGGTCTTGTCAATGAAATGCTTTTACAAAATTTACTTTTTAATAAATCTAAAAAGGAAAGTGAGTTATATAAGGAGAGAGGTTATAGACTGATTAGAAAAGAGACCTGATTAAGAGGGACATTTCTGAGGGAGGGGAAGAAAGATCTATGAAGAGAGAGTTCTGTTTTGTTTGACACTTCCTGTGACCACTTCATTTACTCATTCAAGGTCTCAGAAAGGAGAGCGCATGGCACATATAATATGCGCCAGGCAAACTGTATCGTTTGCTATTTAAAAGAATCATGGCATACTTTTACATTAAGTTTTTTTTTTCCCCTCATGAGCTAGTTTTAAGATTTCATGAGGACTACTGAGTAGACTTCAATATGGGGGTCATTCCGATTTAACTCAAATACACTGCTGTAAATGACTGTCTGGGTAAGTTGAGTTACCCACATGTCCTTCTCCCCACCAAAAAAACACCTTCAACGGTTATGTCTCTGCCATTAGTAACTTCTGTATTCACCCTCAGCTCACTGGAAATGCACACCAAATTCCCTGTCACTTTCCTTTACAAAACAGTAGTAGAGCTGGAGACCACCCCCACCCTGCTCATCTGTCAGATCAATTGGAGGTAGCAAAGGCGGGCTGCATATGCTCTGATGAACACAGGCAGTGTGGACAGCCACGGGCCACCATAGACAGGCAGGCTAAAACCTGGAACGCTGGAGGCTCTGTCGACAGCTTCAGACTCATCATAAGCACAGAAAGATGTACTAGACGACAACACAGCAAGGAGGGGCCAGCAGTGACCAGTACACGTCGGACACTGAGCCCTGCAACGCATACACAGCTTGTGAACATAGCTTGCGAATTACAAATTATGACTGAACTGCTACAGTTGATATTTTAACATAACACAAAGAGAATGACAGTGTACACAATATACATGGTAAATGTACCTAAGAGAAACTGATACAAGTGACAAATATCAGCACATAGTGTTTGCGTTTCGGGTGTCAGAAACAAAACCGGCCCCAAGTTCCACTCTACTGCATGACAAATACTGAAGAACAAAATTTCAGTCTTAAAATACATCTTAAAGTCAGTATTTTCCTTCAAGGAAAAAAGTACTATAAATAAATTACAATACAGTGAATTTGCCTGAACTCACTTCGTTTCTGTTTTCCAGCCATTAAGTCAAATAAACCAGCATAAAACTGTACACTCTTAACATGATAGGTGATCTTTTATAAAATAACCTGTCTTCAGAGATGTCGATTTCACAACAAGGAAAAACCAAGCCCTGTTGCCGTCACTATTATAAAATATATATGTATAGATATATGTTTTTTTTTTTTACAAAATGTGTATATTAATAGCTTTGCACAAATATCTTAAAGACAAATTTAGCTAATCTAAGAACTTCATGAAAATAAACCAGGCAGATAAATACTTCATGTGCACAATGCACTATATCAAACGTCATCAGCTGGGAGAGGAGGTATGTTAATCCTTGGTCTTGTAAAAAATGCTATCTTCTCCCTGGAGTTGGAAAGAATGATAGATTAGAAGTGGATCTGAAGATACCGAAAGCTTTCATGGCAATGATGGTTTTTCTAACTCATAGAGCAAATTAAATTTAAATTCCCAGTAACAAATCTGTTTGTATATAAAGTTTCTAAATTTTAATAGAAGTTATGAAGCCCTGTGAGGATAGGGGTTGGCTTATCTTCCATGCCTAAAATACTGCCTGGTATATAGTAGGTGCACAGGAAATATTTGTTTTATTAATACATGAATGAAAAAAGGAAAAACTGTATGAATGAATGAGCTTTAAATCATAATTAAAGGAAGTTATACTATTTCCTACTAGTTTATGATGGGGCTACGAATGTCATAAATATCCAAAAATTAAGACTAAAAGTCAGTATTATTCAGTAATAAAAATGAATGAAGCACTGACTTATGCTCCAATGTGGATGAACTTCAAAACCATTACACTAAATGAAAGCAACAAGACATGAAAGGCCACATATTGTATGATCCCATTTACATGATGTAACCAGAAGAGGCAAATTCCAAGAGACAGAAAGCACATTGCAGGTTGGCAGGGCTGGGGGAGGGGATGGGTACTGACTGCTAAATAGGTACCAGGTGCTCTCTTTTGGGGCTGATGAAAGTGTTTCAGAGCTAGGTAGAGGAGGTGGTGACACAACATGATCAATGGACTAAATATTACTGACCCCAATTTTAAATTGATTCAAAGTTGTTAATTTTATGTTAAGTAAATTTCAGTTTAATTTTTCAGTCAAGAGAATACAGGTTTATCTGTGTAATTCTCCATATACAAAACAAAAGCAGGAAAAAGTAACCTACACTGTTAGAATTCAAGGCAGTGGTTAGTCTAGCTTGGGACACTGATAATGCTTGATTTTCACAATGTTGAATCTGCTACAATTCACTCCACTATACCATCTGCATACTTTTCTATATGTAGGTTTTGCTTCAATCAAAAGTTAATCGAAAAAGCAAAGATGACACATATGTGTATATATATATGAATCATTCATAATAGCAAACATTCAGAAAGAGGTAGCTGGTTAGAAAATGGAGTAGTGGGTGAATTATACCTAATAGATGAAATATTACCATTAAACAAGCTGACAGATAATGTGGCATCATGAGGTATTTTAATTTTTTTCCTTTTTTTTTTTTTGGTGAGACTGAGGTTTGAACTCAGGGCCTTATGCTTACTAAGCAGGCAATCTTACCACTTGGGCCACTATGCCAGTCCTATTTTAATTAATTAAATTAATTTATTTATTTATTGGCAGCACTGGGGCTTGAACTCAGGACCTCATGCTTGCTAGGCTTTGCTAGGCAGGCACTCTATCACTTGAGCCACTCCACCAGCCCTCCTATTTTAATTTTTTTTAAAAAAATTGACTCTGCATTGCGATTTTAGGATTACATGTAGCATAAAAAATAGTGCGTACAAACTGGGCACCCCAGTCAGTGGCTAAAGCCTATAATCCTAGCTACTTGGAAGCTGTGATCAGGAGGATTGAGGTTCGAGGTCAGCCTTGGTAAACAGTTTATGAGACCTCATCTCCAAAATAACCAGAGCAAAAATGGACTGGAGGTATGGATCAAGCGGTAAAGTGACTGCTTTGCAAGCACCTGCCTTGCAAACACGAAGTCCTGCATTCAAACTCCAGTCCACCAAGAAAAAGTGTGTATAAGTAAAAGATCACAAGAAAACATCAAAATGCTACTAGTGGTGGGAATGCTGCTTACGGTAGATTCCTGTTTTTTTTAAATGCTTGTTTTGCTTTTTATAACACAAAGATATCACAGTAACAAGAAAGCAGTGACAAGCGTGACTGGCCATGGTGTTTGGTTTCTCCCCTACCTAAAGGTCTGCACTTGAATGGGCTCTTTGTGGTTTTGCCCACGCAGCTGGTAGATCTCTTTGGAAGCCTTCTTCAGCATCTTCTCAGCTGCTTGTTCTTGATGGTAGTCAAACTTGGTCTGTCTAGTCTGGAACAGAAACATTTGATGAAGACTTTTTATTGCCTTTTCTTTTTAAATATGGAGTGAGTCCACTCCCAGTGGAACCCAGAAGAACCAACTCCAGCCATGGAGATTCAGGAGATAGGAAGGCCTACTTCATTCAGGTCCATTGGGAAATTCTCCACAGACGTCACTAGGAGTGGCTGGAGTAAAAGTAAGGCCTAGCTGACTTGGGTCCCAAAACATTTTCCCCACAAGGCAGGGAGTGCTGGGGATCCTTTCCTCCCACCCCCAGAGTCTCCAGATGTAAGCTGATGCCGTCACAAACACTACGCTGCTGGCCCACAGAAGGGGAGAATCAGCTGTGTAAGACAAGTGCCTACACCACTCAATTACAATGTCATTATGGGAAACTCACTTCTGAACCAAGCTCAGCTGCAGCACCAAGACCTCTTACCTGCCGCTCTGCTTCCTTCAGCAGGCTGCGGAATCGCTCATCCCGGAGCACCCAGTGGGGGAGGTCGGTCTGGCCTCGGAGCTGGGCATCTTCTAAGCGCTGCCTCAGCTCACGGAGTGCACAGATCTCCTCATTCAACTGCCTCTGCCGCGTTCTGGATGCCTGGAGATCCAGCTCCAGGTCCAGGGAGGTGCGAGCCATGAGCTCGGCCAGAGAAGACCTGCAGGACTGTGGGAGATGGCTCCTGTGAGTGGGCGCACCAACCCTGGCCTTCTGTAAGGTTATTCCACAATTAATAGATAGGTGTGACACGGGTATTTCTATAAGCATGGCCCAAGTTTGAAAAATACAGACTTGGATAAGATTAACTCTTAAGTTCAATACCAAGGGTAGTAATAGCAATTTTTTTCTTTAATGATAACCTGTAATTGTATTTACAAAAGTATGGAGCAACAGGCTTTCTTATAAGGGGCCTACAAGATAAAAAATGAGCGCATTCTTTCAAAAGTGCCATTTGATAATACACGTCAAAAATGGGAAAATGTGGGTTTTCTTTGGTCTGAGATTTCATTTTTGACTTGCATCTGAAAATTACAACTGCCAATGCACAAAAGTAGTCCAATTATGGCTTATGACAGGGAAAAACCTAAATACCTAACAGCGGGCAAATGATTAAATAATAAATAAGATGGATGGATGGTACTGACATCACCGGGTCAAGGCCACTCAATATCCTACAGAGCATAAGGCAGCCCCCATAGCAAAGAATGGTTCAGTTCAAAATGTCAAACAGTATTGCTGTTGAGAAACATTTTGCAGCTGAATTATGTCCTTTCTTATAATTCTCAGTCAGTGACTACTATTGAGTAAAACCACCACATACAAATTGAGGATTTTTTAAAAAATATATATTCCAAAGGATTCTTGCCCAGAAAAGACAGAGACCCACTACCTTACAAACTAAAATTTTCTATGTTGGCATGACATAAAGAAAAATGCTTGGTGAGTAAAGGAAATGAAAACTGTAGAATAGTCTGATGTAGAAGAATGTTATATGTCAGGAAAATCAAAATTTCTATATATCTATCTTATTTAAAAAAGAAAAAAGAACCTATTATATAGAAATGATTAAGTTATTATAAGAATATAATCATGAATGATGTGAAATTGTATTACCTTAAGACATACTGATAACATTATGACATTATATTTTCAAAAGTATGTTAAGAAAAAAGGAAATAAAAATATTATCTTTTAATTAATATGACCTTAAATATTACATAAGAATATATCTTTCAAAGGTCATAAAAATAACTTTCAGGGCAAGTACAGATTTCATATTAGTTTACATGGTACCCACCTGTTTATAGCGAAGGGTTCGTCTTTCCAAAGTATTTCGGACAAAAGGGGACTTCCGGGGCAGCGTTGAACTGTCACTGTCACTACGGTAAAGCTGCATTAGAAAGCATGATGTTTAGAAACAATCAGAAATTCATTACTCATTCTCTGTGTGTATGTAGAATGGGGTTATTTTGTTTCTTCTTACCAGCAGTCAAACAAACTTAGGACTGATGTTTTTATCAACTCTTTGGATTTCAGTTAGAACAAAATCTAGACAAGAGTTTTAAGAAAAGAAAAGATACCAAACCAAACCAAACCAAACCAACCTATCTGGTCCTCTTTCATGTCTATCAACCTAACCATGGGAAGTTTCCAGACTAAAAGAATCAATTATACTTATGCCCTGTCAACACTAACTACAACTTGACTTTAGGTATGACATTTATGAAAGCTGGCACTGTCCTCAGTGTGTTTCCCTGCTAATCAACTGTTCTCATTTGTTGTATTTCTGGTTTTGGCAAAAGCTGTGGAAAACAGCTTTCTGGAAAAAGAGGTTTATTCTTGGTAATTGTAGGACAAGCCAACATTACCAACTCCTGCTGTGCCAGTTAAGGGAAAAGGTTTGTTTTTAAAGAGAGAAATAAAGAACTCCTTCTTTTTGGGAGCTACGACATTATGGATATCATGTGGTGGCAAGGTCTTGCCACAGGATCAATGTGAGCCTGTGTGAAAGCCCAAGTCTTTGCCTTCATGGCCTTGTTTTCTGTGCCAGTCAACCCAAGATACTCAGGAAACATAGTGGCATGGCAGCTTACCTGCCCTGCGATCATACCAACATATCTATGTACAGTGAGGCCTCTAACAGCCTCACCAATGAATGCAGGCTTTTATGCAGTATGCAGACTACTGCACAGCAGCCGGCAGTCTTCCTCTGGTTGAGCAAACTTTGCCCCATCAAACCCTATCCTCCTTAAGGAGCAGCCCTGGGTCTACTCCCTGGTGGTTCAGTCAGAGCCTAGAATAAGGAAGGCTGTAAGGTGTTATTCAGCTGAGTATTCTTAATCAACTGAATAAGCATCACACCTATTTAACCTTAAAAAAAAAAAAACCCTTCTCTGTCAGGTCTGTGCTGTCACTGTCATGCTGTCACTGCCTGCAAACCTCTAACTTATCGTCTTAAACAACCACACTTGTTTGGGTCTCTCCTAAAGCCACCCAAGGGCTGTCAACCCTGTGTGCAAACAAGACACACTTGGGAGCTTCCAAGAATTCTCCTGCCCAGGCCTCGCCTGTAACAAATGTCAAATATCTAGGAGAGGTACCTGCATATCAGTATTTGGTGAATCCTCCCAACACAATCAACTGCAAGGTGCAGAGGTCAGAGCCCTAAAGCTTCTCCTGCCATCCCACAAGGGAAATGAATTTAAATGTTGAGAAGGCAAGCTGGAACCCACTTGTCAGCATTCAGTGTTCTAGGTGGCTGGCACCTGCTGCCCAATGATACAGTTACACTTTAGGACATCTAACCATGCAGAGGGACCTGGCCTTCCAGATCTCAACCCAACTCAAGACAGCTCCTGTTTTGCCTTGATGCTCCTGAGGCTGATGTAGAAATGATTTACCCAGCCTCCTGACCATGAACTGGAGCACATGCAGCACTGAAAATTCAGGGGAGATAGAATTAGAATTCTGAAGAAATTCAGAATTAGACAGCCATGGGGTGAGAACAAAGAAGAAAATGTTCTGGACGGGAGTTCTGGATAGGGGGTAAAGGAATCCCACTCACTCTGCAAACATACTGGCTTCGTGCTCCAGGAGAGAAAGTCTGTGAACGGACAATGGTGCTACTCCGAACAAAGGGTGAGCCACGTGTCCGGCGGCTGGGCCGCTCCTTCACAATGCTCATGGCTTCTTCTGGGAAGAGATCTTCTGTGGTGGTTTCCTTATCAACCTAGGTAGAGGTCCATTTATTACCTTGACCATAGCACAAGTAGTACATGTAGCATGAACAAGCACATCACTCTGATGTTTCTATCTGCAGGTTGAACTGGCAGTTCAGTTTGTGTCTACCATGTTCAAAATGGAATGGCTAAGAGTCCCCTCAAACCTGGGGATTCCTTCCACGAGGATCTTACTTTCTGTTTGTTCATGAGAAAAAATATCTTAGTGCCACCCTGGACTCTGTTCTCTTTTACATACCCCATATCTGGTCCAAGAGAAAGTCTTGCTGGCTCTATGTTCAAGATGAAGTGGATTTTGACTATTTGTCACCAAACTTTCATGGGAATTGCCATTATCAAGTAGCCAGAGTAAACAATGAACATCCTGTCAGTGTCCCCAATTACACACCTTTGTGCCCCTTCAATCTGCACAATCTTCACAGTGGCCAGGGAGACCCTGGAAAAAGCTAAGCTGCTAGGTAGGTACTCAAAAGAACTGAAAGCAGGCTCTCAAACACATGCCTGTATGGATGTTCATGCAGCACAGTTCAGAGAGCCAAAGGAGGAAGAAGCCAAATGTCCATAATGGATGAATACATCAATAAAATGTAGTCTATCCACATAAGGGAATATTATTCAGCCATCAGAAGGAATGAAGTGCTGACACATGCTGCAATGTGAATCAACCAATGGAAACACTATGCTGAGTGGAAGAAGCCAGACACAAAAGGCTACACCTTACATGATCCCATTTACATGAAATATGCAGAAAGGGTCACCCTACAGAAAGAGAAAGTTGATTTTGATGGCCAGCAGGGGTGAGGTGAGGGGTTGGGGAGGGACTGTTCCAGGGGTGTGAGTTTTTATTTGGGATGACGAAAGTGCCATGCATAGAAGGAGGAAGCAAACACTGTGAATGTACTAGGTGCTATTGAAATGTTCATTTTAAAATTGTTCAGTTATGTTGTGAGAATTTCACCTCATTAAGTTATTTTAGAAAAAAACCCAAGATCTGATCTTAAAAGTCAGATCTTGTCACCACTAAGCTCACAACCATCTACCGGGTTCCCACGTCTGTCAGAGAAAAGCCAGGGCCCTGAGTGGGCTGATCACAACATCTGATTCCTTGGCTTCCTCTGTCCTCAGCTTGGACAACCCATGCTAATTCCCCCAGACATGCCCCTCTGCTTCCCCCTCACCCTTGTTGAGGCTTCCCTGAGCTATCTTTAAGTCGTGTTGTTAAAAAACATATGCACACAAAATTAACCATCTTGCTGGAAGAAGGGTTCAAGTGGTAGAGTGCCAACCTAGGAAGCATGAGGCCATGAGTTCAAACCCCAATCACCATCTAACCATTTTAAGGGTACAGGTCAGCAGTATTAAGTATGTTCACATTGTTACGTAACAGATCTCCAAAACTTCTTGATCTTGCAAAATTGAAACCCTATCCCCATTAAACAATGACCCCTATTTTCTACCTCCAGCCACTGGCAAGTACCATTCTACTTTCTGTCTCTATGAATTTGACTATTCCAGGTACCTCATAAAAGGAATTATATAATCATTGACCCTTCATATCTGCAGTTTCTGTATCTGTGAATTCAAGCAATGGCAAATTGAAAATATGTGACCAAAAAATTCCAAAGTTCCAAAGAGCAAAACTTGAATTTATTGCACTGAACACCATGTTGAATCCACATGAAGTATAGCAGACCCTAACATTTCAGAGATCTTCAGTCTCTCTTTAGCACGTCTTTGACTGCTATATGCTTTGTACCTCATTTAGATACTATGCAGCTAAGCCTATGATAGTTTCATCTATACTGAACATGGACAGACCTTTTTCTTGTCATAACTCTCTAAATAATACAGTATAACAAATGTTTACAGACAAATTATATAGATATCATAAGTAATCTACAGATGATTTAAAGTATACAGAAGGACATGCATGGGTTACAGCATTTTACAGGAGGGACTTGAGTATCCACAGATCTTGGGGTCTATAGGAGTCTTGTAACCAATACTCCAGAGATACAGAGGGACAGCTATAACTGCCTTTCCATGTTTGGCTTACTTTACTTAGCATAATGTTCTTAAGAATCATCCTTGTTGTAGTATATGTCAGAATTTCTCTTTTTAAGGCTGCATACTACATCATGAACATACCACATTTTGTTTCTCCACTCATCCATCCATGGGCACTTCAGTTGCTCTCTCCCTTTGGCTATTGTGAATCATGCTTCTAGGAACAGAGGTATTCACAGGGACTACAAAAGGGAAAACCTTTTGGTTGTAGCCAGCTTTCATACTTACCAGTTTACTCATTAATTAAACTAACATTTTATTCCCTCTTTGTCTACATGTTGGAGAGTCCAAGGTTAACTCCCTTTACTCTTCAATTAAACCAGGCTGTCTTCTACCCTATCTCTCTCTCACAACCAGAAAAATGAACCTGTCAGCCAAGACATACAGCTTGGAGTTGTGGTGCCTGAACACCTGGAGAACCAAAGCCAGCATCTATTCTGGGACATGTATTTCATCATTGCACTCAAGCTGAGCCCCCAAAATCCTCTTTAAAAAGCAGACATTTTTTTCTCAGAAGTAGGACAACAGAGCTTTGAGTGGCTGACTGGCCTCCTCTTCATCTGGTGAGTAATAAACTTTATTTCCTTTTCCTCAAAACCTTCCTCTCATTATTTGTGATTTGGTATTGAGGCCAGGGGACCAGCTTTCCAGTAACAATATGCAAATATCCTTTTGGAATCTTGTTTTAAATTCTTTCTGATACACACCCCGAAGGGAGATTGTTGGTTCATATACTAGTTCTCTCTGTAATGCTTTGAGGAGCTGTCATGCTCTTTTCCATAGCAATTATATCATTTCATGATTCTAACCTTTCTAAAAAGTAAATGTAAATTTAAATTTTAAAATAGAAATCCTTTCTAAAATTCCAAACGTTTCTAAAAATAGAAACCCTATTTCCCTGCCATTTTAATCTCTGGTGGCCCCTTTGACTGTCTAAAACACAGTTGTACTTTAGTGATTTCTCCTTGCTATCATCTGCGTCCTTCTTGAGGGCATAAGTCCTATTTATTTTCTTTCTTGTACCTGCAATGCCCAGCAGCTAGACTTACATCCACAAGGAAAGGTACAATGCAAATGCGGGAAGAGTAAAAATTGGGGGATCCAGGTGATGGGTATATGGGTATTTGCAGCATTATTCTAGCAACTTCTCTGTAGATTTTTTTTTTTTTTGGTGGTACTAGAGTTTTAACTCTAGTTTAACTCTGCTTGCTAGGCAGGTGCTCCACCACTTGAGCCATTCTGCCAGTCCTTTTTTTCGAGATAGAGTCTCTAGAACTATTTGCCTCGCTGGCTTCAAATTGTGATCCTCCTGATGGGGCCACCAGTGCCCAGCTAATTTGAAGGTTTTTGAAATTAAAAGATGGGGAAGGGGAAAACATGAAATTAGCCTCCCATGGTCACTCACTCTGATTTGAGTTTTAAACATCATAAAAAGTAAGACAGTGGCAATTACTGGCATTTTAGTCTAAAACAACTGCTTCAAACCTGCCCAGGCTGTAGCAGGAAGCTGCCAAGGGAACAAATTTGTATGTGGTGTTTTAGGGTAAGGCCAGGAGTCATGGCAATAACATGTTTTTGTGTGGTAAAGAGTTTGGATGATAAAGTTTTAGTAGGGCACTGATATAGCAGCAACCAAATATGTCAGATCAAATGACCAGAGGAGCTGTTCTTCATGTTACAATGGAGAAAAGTACTTAACAGCATTCCCCAAACCACTGTGACCCAGCAAACTGTCTAAGACTTATTTGTCTTATTTGAAGACAGAAAATGGATCACCACAAAACAGCACAGGAAGGAGTAAAGCCTACCTTTTAAAATTCTACTTGTTCTTCCTTGCATTCTAGAGTTGATGAACATTTTGGTAGTACCTGCTGTGTTAAGGCCTTTACAGATCTTTCCCTCAGCTCTCAAAGAAACACAGCTATTGCTTAGCTATCACGCCCAAATCCAACAAGAACTGTCCATTTTATACCATGTTTCCTCATATTCCACAATCACAACACGGCTGTTAGTCAGTATACTATTGTACTACTCTGCAAATGAACCCAGCAGCCCTGGCTTCCTGTAGGGACTCTCCTTTACCATTCCCTCACATTTCCCATGATGGGTATGGGGACATATCTTACTGCAGGGCTGGCTTGGTACTGAACATTCAAGGCTCCATAAAATCCCTTGACATTTTCTGCTTACCTTAAGAGGCAGGAGCTGATGTTTCTCAGGACTGTAAGGATCCACTTGGCCAGCAAATTTGTGTCCATGGATGGAGTCAACACCAATGCAACATGGCTCTGGGTACAGGGGGCTGGTCTGGGTGCAGTTGCTACAGCCACTATCAACTGAGTCAGCCTGCCAACTCCTACAGGTGGACATTGCAGAAGCCCCCAAAATGTTCATCAGAAGGGACTTCTTTCATGCCTGCTTTCAAAGCATGGTAGCAGAGATACCTAATAAAATGTATTTGTTTCCAATGACTAAAGACAGTTACTGTTCTCATAAAGTAGAAGGGCAATTCTGCTTTCTAGGGAAGATAATACTTTAAGGGCTTTCATCAATGGGGGCTTTTTTTAATCACCCGATTGCAGTCACTGAAGGTGCCAGAAATTCCCACCACAGAAGCCCCCCTGGCATAACTGTCCATCCATGAACATGACACCGTCTCCCTCAGCCATGTGCTATCCCTCTCCAAAGTAAATTTTTCTTTAAACTATATTGGGGGAAAGCCATGGGAAAGGAGCTTTGGAAAGATGACACTCATGATGGAAAAATGTAGAAGCAATGTAGAACATGAAAGTGCCTCCAAAGAAGGTCAGACAAACCACTTCACTAGAGGTGCTTGTTCACCTGAATTATTCATCCACTTTATGCAGGCCTCCAAAGTCAAGGACTGACTCACCAGTGAGCTGCCACAGGCAATGTATAAAGGGACATTACAGTATTCCATTTATAGGAAATTTCCAGAACAGGTAAGTGCACTGAGATAGAGAATAGATTTGTGATTGCCTGTGGCCGGAGGGAAGGAGGGATGGGATGGGAATGACTTCTAATCGCTGGTGGGGAGGGGTTCTTTTCAGCATGATGAACATACTCTATAGTTGACTGTGGTGACAGTGGCATGGGCTACGTGACTGTGCCCAAATCCACAGAACTATATACTTTAAATGGATAAATGGTATGGCAGAATGATTAGATCTCAATACAGTGGTTAAAAAGAAAGACTTAAAGGGAGCTTTGTATTCAGTGCTGGTAGAAAGGAGGCCACTCAACAGTCCCACTCTTGAAGAGAAATTCCAGAACAGAATAAAAGGTATAAAGTTCACACAGAGGACTGGGGCCAGGAGCTCAAGGCATTGCCCTTGTGCAGATCAGCATTAGATTCCCCACCAGAATTCCACCTCCTGACCAATAGCACCGAAGAACTGTCTGCATATCTACTGAGGCGTGGATGAAAACAGCAACTTGAACCCAGAGACACCACTTCTCCTGAGAGCCACAGCTGACTGACACTCGCCTTGCCCAGAGGAAACATGCCTCTTCTCCCTGAGGTTTTGGAAAGCCCCTTGCCCTTTTCTGTGGGGAGGAGGATGGCAAGGACTCGGGGCACTCACCTCTCAGACACAGCCTCTGCCTGCTCCTCCTTCCGCTCTATCTCCAAGATCTCCTCCTCGGTGTACTCCAGCTTCACACGCTCCTCGGCCAGTTCTCTCTCCACAGCTTGCAGCTGGGCTGTAGTTCTAGCCAGCAGCACTGTCACTGCATCCTGTAGGAGGAAAGGGCACTTCTGATAATGAGCACTGCCCCTGGCTCCTGGCAGCAAAGCTGACAGTAGGCACCTGGTGTACAGCCCAGCAAGCATCCATCCCACCTGAGGACAGCAGTGTGAATGCCCTGCAGGGGGAGAACTCAGTCCACAGTTCACAGTAAGACATTCTTCGGCCTGGTTGTATAGTTCTGTAGGCACAAATCTGAAGATACCTACATTCTACTCATGACCTTGAACATGTTTGCATTTAACAAAAAGCATTATCATAATGTGGCCACATGTATGGACATGTCCCATTTTGATTCCTGCCCCTTGAAACTCTACCACTTCTTCTTTTTTTTTTTTTGGTGGTACTGGGGTTTGAACTCAAGGACCTCATGCTTGCTAGGTAGGCACTCTACCACTTGAGCCATTCCGCCAGCCCAAAACTCTACTTCTTCCTTATTGCTACATTCTTACTTGAGGTCTACATAGAATCTTCTTAGAAATGGCTTCCCAAAGCAAAAGCCAATCTCAAAGTAAGGAAAACGGTCACAAAAGATTTGCTCCATAAGCCAGAGCCACATACCGTCTTCCCAAGGCCAGGATGCACAGAACCTTGCACAGCACTCTCGGTAGCCCGCCAGTACTCCCTGGACCTTGGTGGCTCGGAACTAGCAAAGACCTGCACGAAGTACCAGCGCAGCTGCATGTCACTTGAACTGTCACAGTCGGCCAAGTTGATCTGAGCAATGCCCTGCACAGGTGGGTTAAAAAGAAAAGCCAAAACAAGCACTGAATGAGTTCTCTTAATAACTGGAGTTCCTTAAAATACCAAACTCATACTTAAATCTTCTTTTTTTTGCGGTAACTAGGGTTTAAACTCAAGGCCTCATGCTTGCAAGGCAGGCATTCTTACCACTTGAGCCACTTCACCAGCCTCATACTTCAATCTTAAGACATAAAATAGTTCACTCTTATTAGGATGGCAGTAGAGTGAAAGGGGTTCTAGAGGGTCCCGCTGGGGTGGCTCCCTCTTGCTTGTTCAGCATGATCAGAAAGTGCTGGAAAGGAACAAGGGCAGAGGATAGCAACTGGGGTGTTGAGTTAGGCTCAGGGCTGTGCTAGTTGATGAGCTGGATTTTCTTAGGAATTTTTGAAATGACAAAGGACTGGCTGAATCTATACTCCTTAGTTCTCCTTCTGTAGGCATGTGAGCCAGGAGAAAGACTAAAAATGTGGAAAGAAACAGCACTGGCTGCCAAGTCTCGGTGTGGGGATCGCTGGATAGGTGCTTCATGAAGACTAACCCAACCTCTCTCGAGTCCTGGTACTGGAGTTGCCAGCTAAAATACAGGGCATCCTGGTAAATTTGAATTTCAAATAAATAATGGACTTTTAAAGTATAAGTAACTCTCAACTATTGCATGCAACATACTTATACTAAAAAATCCATCATTTCTTTGAAATTCAAATTTAATTGATCTTCCTATATTTTTATTTGCTAAACCAGTCAACCCTACTTTGTTCCTTGACTGACACTGGGGATAATAAGAACTAGCTGAAGGGGTTTTGCAACTGTTGACTGAGACAATGTATTTAAAGTGCAAAACACCCAACTAGATCATAGGTTTGTTCATCTCTTCCTATACTCTCGGCCACAGATACCATGATTTAACATTATAACAGTTTCTAAGCAGAGACAAGGATAAAAGATGACAAAAAGGAGGAAGGCAGAAAGACAATAACAGACAAAAACTAGGAAAGAAAAAGACAAGGACTGGGGCATAGCTCAAGTGGTAGAGTACTTACACATGAGGCCAAGTTCAAACCCCTGTACTGCAGAAAAACCAAAAAGGCAAATGAAAAAGGAATAAAAGATGGATGGGAGGGAGGGAGGGAGGAGGGGAGGAAGGGAAAGAGACTGAAACCCAGAGGGAGAAGAGCAGGAAAGGGAGGAGGGAGGGCACGATGTTGAGTGAGCCCTGGCGCCATACCAGCAGTTCTTCCTGCAGCTGTGGGTTCACTGAACACACATATAACTGAAGTGACTTCAATGTCAACATGCTGGAATGCACAGGGATTCTGAACACTTCATTAAACACCAGCGGAGCTTGGAATTCCAGAGCCTTCGAGCAGTAGGTGTTGGGAGTGCCAGAGTCGAGCGGGGGCAAGTAGACACGAATGTGGCTGGGAGAAGGGGGAGGAAAAACATTGGCAGGCAGCATGGACTGATGCACTTATTGATGTGATCCCGTGTGCACCCATGAGTGTCACCCTCTTTAGGTGTTCATGAGGCAAATTTTTCTTGCCAAGAGAAAGACTTGGTGGTCACTCCTAAAGACCGGAGGCTCCAAGGCTCTGCTGGACACTGTGTTTTAGCAGGAGCGTATTGGCCCTGCCTTCACAATTCTGCCTGCCAACTTGCCAACCAATCACTCACAGGGGCCACCACCATGTCGCCTGCACATTCCACCCCCTGCCCAGAATTTGACCCATAGCAGGGTGGTCTCCAACATTTGGGACCACTGTAACATGCATTAGCAGGGTGAACAGAATCCCAGAGTGGATCCTTAGGCACTTATACCAGGTTGCTTCTCAGGCCTTTAGAAGACTGGTTCACAAAGACAACTCATAGAAGGGGGTCCAACTTGGACCTGAATGGACCACTAATGGTGCAGTCATTCACCTCACTAAGTGGGACCCACTATCAGGCACCCACCTAGGGCCATGGAGCATACAGAGCAAGGCAGCAGTCTCACAATAGAAGTCAATGTTACCAGGTGACTGCCAAGTGTTGATGCCAACTGAGATTTCCTGCTCCTCTCCTTAACCAAGGAATCCTTGATCCCAACTCCAGGGAGCTCAAAGGGCCAAGTGGACCCATATTATCACCACCCATCCCTGGGACACAGGACAGTTTTAAGCCCCAGTACTGCCAATGACAGGTACTTCCTTGGCCTCAACACAGTGCATAACCTGACTGGTACCATTAACTTCATCTGCCTCAACTAATTAACTAGACTCTTTTTAAAACTTATAATCCTTTATACTTCAGATAGACATTCCTTGGTGTTTTACTATATATTTAGGTTTCCAAACTGTCTTTCCCATCCCCAAACTTCCAAGTGGAATAGGTTGCTGAGCTGCGTTGTGTGGAGGGCCCAAGGGAGGTCACTGGTAGCAGTACAGGGTTCTCATGTCTCTAAGCCCTGGAACTTACATCTTGCAGTCTTCCTTCATCAGCAGCCCGGCAAAGTTTCTCAGCTGCAGCACGTGCACAAGGAGACATTCACTGGCACTGTCATGCCTAGAAAATAAAGCCCAAGTTTGTGCACCACAAATTACCCAAGGAGGAAAATTTCTCTGACTGGACTGCAGAGGTAGCCACCAACTGAGGGCCTTTTTTCCCCTACCCTACCTGCAGGGGTCATGTGCCATGTCTGGAGACATTTTTATTGCCACAACTGGAGGAAAAGGGTGCCATCGTGCCCAGTGGGTAGAGGCCAGGGATGTTGAACAACCTACAGTGCACAAGACAGTCCCCAGAGCAAAGAAGAGTCTGGTTCCAAATGTCAACAGTCCTGGGAAACCAGGACCAGAATAACAAGAGTAAGCAAAATAAGACAGCAGAGATCTGAACATCCTGCCCTGCCAGTGTGAACACTATGGCTACTGCCTTTATTGAAACTAATTAGAAGCCAAAAAGTGCTGTGCTGCAAACAACCTGCTGACTCTGGGGATGAGGGAAGGACTCTGGTATCTGTGCCACAATGAACACAATCAACTCCTAGCAGAAATGTATGAAATGTCCTCATTTCACCGAACTTCTCAGGGGCTTTTGAGTACCCCTGTGTTGTGGCCCTCAACTTCTCAACTCCCTAAGGTGACATTGATACTAAAAGACAGCAGTGCAGCCCCTTTCCTCTCTTACTCCTTCCCTCTACCTGTCAACTCACCTGACACCAGCCAAATTGGGACAGGGCTATCAAGGATGGGAGGGGCAGCCTCCAGGTCATGGGTCCCTTCACCTCTTGTAGCTTGTGTGTAGAAGTGAGAGGACCCACCAGACAAGCCCTAATCCAGAAGGCATCTTTAAGGCTGAAGAGGACTAGATGTATCAAGGGTGGGGGAGCAGCACTCAAGTGGGCCCCAATCTATAGGGCATTTTTAACAACAGGGAAGGTGGCTCTGTACTCACAGAAATCCCACGTGGATCTGGGGATCGTTGTTACTGCACGTGTCTCCGAAAGCAGACTCTTCAGCATCTTCATTCCTAAACATAATGAGAAATTCACTGGGGTTTATTCCAAAGGGAAGTGCTCACTGCAGTTTGTGCAGAAGCACTCTCATGCTGAGAGTGACTCTTAGGAGCTTCATCAAATTGTGACATAAATAAGACAATTCATTAAGTGGCCAAAATGGCATGGCAGGTCCCTAGGATCCAAGCCATACTCATGGATACTTGCTCACAAACTGCTGTTTCTTATTTATGTTCTTTTTGGTTTAGAAAATAACTGCAAACCTTTCAAAACCTCAGGGCAATGTTCAAAAATGAAATCTAAAAACATTCAATCAAAACAAAGCACAGAATTCCAAAAAGATATTTTTTTAATTGCAAGGGATTCCTATATCTAAGGACAGAAGGAAGAAATTCATTTCTAAGGAATGTCTTTTTCAGAAAAGTAGGTCCCTCTTGTGTACACGATTCTCCTTTTTGAACTCTACAGAACTTATGCCTTAAATCCATGGGTCCAGGGAAAAAGAAGCTATCCTAGAACAATGGAATGAGAACCAGCTTCCAAATGTTACACATAAGTCAGAAGAATTTTCTTTGCAAGACTCTAAGGCCCAACTTCCTTAGAAAATGGAAAAAAGTGAGGAAAATATTCCACACTTGGATATACAAAGTTTCAATATATAAAAGTTTCAGAAATGACCCTAGCCTTGTGTGCACATATGAATAATAAAATAAAATAAAAATAAATAAGTAAAAGTTTCAGTATATCCTGTTATGTGTAACACTAATGCTTCAGCTTAGGGAAAAGGAAATATAAGATCGGCTCCTAACCTTTTGGTTAGAGGTTCAAATACCCCACTATCGCTGGCCAGTGAGTAATCAGACAAGCATGCAGAGACTCGGCGTGCTCTCCTCTCCAACCTCTTTGCACTGTCTTCCCGGAGAGTCACTGCTGCAAACAACGAACACACTTGGGTTAAGAGATGACAGCACAGGAGACCAGGACCACTATGGAAAAGCACTACAAAGTTACTAAGTGCTCCAGAGACAATGACATGATATATACATGCGCATTAACACTGCGCACAATTGTCTTTAACACTGAAAAAATAAAAGAAACAGATTTCTGGCTAGTAATTGTGGGGTTTTATGTTTGTTTAGAGAGAGGGTCTCACAGTGTAGCCCAGGCTGGCCTCCAACTATTGATCTTCCTGTGTCAGCCTCCCAAGTGATGGGTTTACAGGCATGCACCACCATGCCCAGCTTTGGCTACTTCTTTAAATATTCTTAAGCTTTCTAGAAAGACACTTGGATTCACACATCTCTCTTCAGTCCCTTAATGAGCACACAGAACATAAGATGAAGGTGAGAAGCACCTTCAAATTGCACCACAAGAAAGATAGTTTTCATTTCCCTTTTTTTATGCTATTTGGTATTTTCCATTTTTTATAAAATAAACATATGTAATACTGCTTTTATAGTTAGAAAAAAATTAATTATCCAAATGAACCCTAGCAAAGTTAGTGACCTTCAAAGCAAAGGACACAGCTAAAAACAGCCTCATCCTTTGTAAACACCTCCTGGGAATCCTGTGCTTCATGGAGAACGCTGGAGCTTACCTAGGTTCAGCGCTTCAACTGCAGTGTATCCCAGCCACCCTGGTCCACAGTGGCTTCTAGATTCACTTTCCTGGTTTAGAATACTACCACTTCTGACATGTCATCTTTGTTTCAAGTATGTTTCAAATAGATGTGTTTTAATCAAGAATGACTGCATGTTTCTTTTCTAACATTTCCTTAACTGCTTTTACCCGTTCCCTCACAGCAGTAACTTCCTTCGAACAAAACCAATAAAAATAAGCATATAATCCTTCTATGTTAAATGTGATTATGTACACAGGAACTTCATTGTTTTCTAGAGGGGTATACTTGGTTAGAATACAGAATAAAATATGAAGCCCCAAACTGAGCACTGCTCTGACATCACAATGCCTCTTGTTAATGATACAAGTCCCTCTGGTGTCTCTATACTTTCCTTTGGCTATCTAAGCTCCACAAATTGAAAATCTTGACATCAGTGCATCCCTAAGTTGAGGGAAATGATGAGTCCAAAGATGACCATCTCTCATTTCAACCAAGTTATTATTCACACCTATTAAGCAAAAACACATTAAAGAGTACACGAAACAAATCAAATGAAGCCATGGTCATTGGTCTCTCAATGTCAACTGAAGACAAAAACTAGTCTTCCAAAGTTCTGCAATATGAAGCCTGGGGTAATGTTATCTGTGCCTGCCCTGGTCAGCCAGCAACAGAAGCTGGCTCCACCCTGGAGTGGTCAGAGGTACCAACTCTCAAACTATTGCCAGGACTCGCATCGTCCCAGTCTTTCCTTCATCCCTGCCACATGAAAGAACCTCAAACCTCTGTCCCTGACTGCAGATGGAACTCAGGTGTGTGGATCTTCTCACTGCACATCTCTAACAAGTAAAACCCACCATATGTCCATTCCCAGCCCTGACACCCTCTGGAAATACTTCCTAGATACAGCTTTGAATCGTTTTAAGGTAACAGTCCCAGGTAACAATCCTAGGCCCTTCTAGGAGTCCTGTCCTACGGTGCAATTCTGACCAAATTTCTCTCTCATCATTGCAATGGAAATCCACAAAGAGAGAAGGGAAATTAAGGAACTAATCTTCATGGAGCCCAGGCTTAGTCAGTAAATTCAGAGCAATTAGATGAAGAAGTGGCCGGAAGAAAAAACCCATAGCAATTATCCTGGGTCAGAGAAAAAAAACATAGCAATACCCCATACTACATACTGGAGATGTCCATTCTTGGGTTTCAAGGCAACATGGTTGATCATGGAATGCAATGCCAACAAAGCAAGGAAAAAAAATCTTCTACGTGTTCATTAAAAAAATCTCTGACCTTTTCATCATAAAAGAGACAGACAGACAGACGCTAAAACCTAATGACATCGACTTTCCTTGATAAAAAGGAAGGAAATACAATGAAAACCACATTGTAGCCAAAGCTTCCATCTTACTATTAAAATAATATTGCCATTGAATTCTGGAGGAAAAAAATACACACAGGGAGTAAATACTGAAAGCTTTTCGAAAAGTTCTTCAATGACTTATTAATAGTAGCCACCATGAACATTAAACATAGTAACAATCCATAAACTACCCCACACCCATCCTACACATGGATTCACCCAACAAAGGAGTGCCTGAAGCCTGAGCAACAAAGGGGAACAAGGATAATTCCAAAGCCACTTACAGTGAATGTTTCTGTGGAGCCGCATGAGAAAAGAGATAAAAAAAAAGCACAACGTGAAAAATTGCAGGATTTAAGCCAACAATTTCAAACAGAGTGTGAATATAATAAAAGCATCAACAGATAAGCAAAGTCAAGATTTTTATGGATTTTAACTAGCAAATACTAACAGGTGAATCAAAATAGAAAGGCATTCCAAAATAATGACATATTTGACTTTCAAAATGCAGGGAATACAACTGTAAAAAATTGCAAAAAAATATTCAAGATTACAGTCTATTGCCCCACTCCTCTGTCCCGCCTTCTGTCCATCTGACTAATTTAAAACACAATGGAAGAAATCACTGCCTTGTGGGGTTAGGCAATTTAGATTTTTATCTTACTACAACTTGCCCGGGGGCAAACTTTGTACTGTCCCTAGCAAGACTGAAATGGTGAAGGGAAATGCATGACCCTGGGCACTCATGGGAGAAGGGTAATCTGATGAGCACCAACCTCCATCTTTATGAAGCTATGACAAATTCTGGGCTCAGGAGTTCCCAAAGCACCAAGGGAAGCAAGGCGTGCCTCTGTGTCCATGCCTGAAGCTGGTTATCTACCCAGAAGGACCTTGAACCCACTAGGTCAATTTTTTGCAAGTTTCTTTAGGATACAAGTCAGCTGACAATGTCATGCAGGAATTCACCATCAGGTGGCAGTATCCAAACACAGATTAAGTAAGTATCTTCCATTCTAAATTGTTCAAACATGACAATGTGACAATGTCTGACACACAGGGAAAAGGATCAGAAATTAGGTCAACTCTTCTCCATCCCACTCTGTCTTTTCCCTGGCCCAAGGGGACCCCTGTGTGGAATTTCTGCATAACCAACCTTTACAGAAGTTGGTAAACTGGGAAGAGGGAGACAGATGAAAAGTAATTTAAGCAATGACTGAGGTACAATGCAGGCCGTATTGTGTCTTTTCATTTCTGAGTGGGGGAAACAAATGGAGCAATGAACCTGTGATTGTAAAGGAGAGCAAAGGAAATGAAAGCTACCTCTATAGTGAGTTACAGAAACAATGTCTCTGGGGATATAAAAGTATGTTTGCAAACAAAGCGGAGAAGACATCGAAAGAGCAGATGCCAAAAAGCCATGGGGTAGCCCAGCCCAGAATATAATGATCTCTGGTTAAACATATAAATGCTGACAGACTACTATTTTATAGACAGGCCTCTCTGAAGATCAGCTGACCTTTCCATCCATCAATTGATCTATTTCAAAGGTAACAGAATGGTGGTGAATGGAACAGACCATAAAAACCATCTTGTTCCAAGGGTAGAGAAGGTGAGACAGCTCTAGGTCACACAGCTAGAAGTCAACAATGCAGGGAACAGAATCCTGGTTTCCAGGCTGCTAGTCTGAAGCTATTTCCACTACACTACACTGGTTTTGTATTCTAGTTTTATTTCCCACCCTTTGGTGTATAAATACTCAATAGCATGCTTCTAGGTTTCTTGGCCTCCATACTATTAACATTGGAGCTAGATGATTCTTTGTTGTGGGGGCTGCAGTACGCACTGTAGGCTGTTTGGTAGTTTCCCTGGGCACTTCCCACTAGATGCCAGGAGCATCCTCCCCTGCAGCTGTGACAGCCAAGAATGTCTCCAGAAATTACCAAATTACCCCAGGGGTAGAGGAGAAGATCCACTACGCTATATAAATCATCTAGTGCTTGTCTAAATGGAATGTCTAAAACATTTTTCCTGTGCAAATAAAAGTTAATTAATGGGCTGAACTTCAGGAATGGGAAATCTTGTTCTTGGTCCTGTTTAAAACCTCAGGAAGTTAAAGTTGCTAGGGGTTGCCTTGAAAACACACATGGGGTCAATATTTTCTGGAATAAGCACACTAGCATCAAAGAGGAGCTGAACTCCACTCACAACTGGGTGGATGAGGCTTTTGGTAGCCAAGTGGTTCTCTATTTGGAGGCCACCAGAAAAAGGAATTCAGTAGACATGACTGATGCTTACTGCATGTCTTTCAAGATCATGCAATTATTGTCATTGTCATATTTGATAGAATTAAAGCCTTAAAGCTACAAGGCCATATGGACAAAGAGATGAAGTCAAAGCGACAAAGGAAGTAGAGATTCCCACTGGGCTACAACCAGACACCAGTCAGCCTACTGGTCTTGAGGTGTGCACACATAGCATTCTCTACCTGACACACAACCTCAGAGTACACTCAGATCTTAGTACCTTTTTAACAGACTGTGAATGTGGAATATTGTGTGGTTATTACCCTCATTTTCAATAATTAAGTACGTTCTTAAAGCAAGCCAAATACCTGGGAAAGACTACTTTGTCAATGTCAATTATCTTTCCTAACAGAGACAATAAAGACTAGAGCAGGTCTGGGCCCTTCCTAACATATCAATATTCCTTAACAGCTCACCAGGGACTTGGAAAGTCACCAGCCTTAATGCCAGGGAACATGATTTCTCCCAGAATCTCAGACCTTACTTCCTAGGAGGTCCTATCACCACTTACTTCCACTGGTGGGAGCAGCAGCCATTTGGAGTCCCCGATCACGCAGTCCTTCCCCTTCCCCCGAGAATCCATGTGGCTGAAGCGACACTGTACCCTGCAAATCTTCATCTCCCAAGGCAGAGGCCTGTGCTCGCAGTCTATCCAGGGAGCCAAGGCCTGGCACCTCAAGGCTATCTGCCAATTGTGCCAGAGGTGAGTCCCGCGAGGCTGGGAGGAAGGGCGTGTCCAAGGGTGAGCTGGGGGGTGACAGAGAAGACAGGGAAGAGCGAGAGGACAGTGATGCCAAGGACTGGGGTGTGTCCAGGGACCGCCTCTGCTTATGGAAGCCTGAGTGGCCTGGCGGGTCCACAAAGGGAACATCTCGTCCCAGAGAGTCAAAGGGAATCAGATCGAAGCGTAGAAGCTGACCACACTCAGCTTCAGCCTTCTCATACTGTGGGAGGCCATAGATGTCGGTGAAGCTGACTGAGCTCAGGGAACCACGGCTGGAGGCCAGTGAGCCCCGGCTGGAAGCCAGGGAGCCACGGCTGCTCCCAGAGGACACCGTCAGGGTGCTGGCAGACAGGCTGAAATGAGAGAGTCACAACCTTAGAAACACAAGCTGCTGCTCTGGACAGCCGCCAGCCTCATTCTCTCCGGAACTGAGCAGGGTTCTATCTCTTGGAGCTTTTGAACAGAGCTTGGCTGATAGGTCTTTTCAATGACACTAGAGGGCAGTGGGCAGAGCTGCAAAGACTGTTGCAGCTCAAAAGCAGACTAGCTCAGTCCAATCAGTGCAGTTGCTGAACCTCTCTGAGACTCCCACTTGCTCGCTGTATTGTTAGGAGTAACTGAGAAAGTAGTTCATACAAAGCCTTTAACCCTTAACATTATGCCCCATAATATAGTAAACACCTGAAAAGGTAAGCTACTATCCTGCATCCAGATTTTACTTAAAATACTTATATCCTTTAAAAAGTCCAAAATAAAAATGTGCATGAACATAGATGAACACTCTTGAAGCTGTTAATTAGATTATAAAATCTAGTAAGTGTAATAAATTTGACTTAAGACTTATTTATTCTTTTTTTTTTTTTGAGACAGCATCTCACTATGTAGTCCAGGCTGGCCTTGAACTCGTGATCCTCCTGGTCTAGTTTCCCTAGTTCTAGGACTATAGGGTGTGCACCTCCACACTTTTTCATTCTGCTCAGACTAATTTATTTTGAAGCCAAATTTGGTTATCCTTACTTTCCTTTAGCTATATGTTAGCAAGTTATCTTAAAAACATAATGTATATGGCTTTAACCCCACTTCAGGCTCTAAGCTCCAGGAGGAGCAAACTTCAAGCTAAAGGCAATTATGAAGTTCATGCACATGTCACTGTAGCATGATAAGTATAGTTTTTTCTTCTAAAGTAACCTACCTTTTTAACTGGGACTGGAGATAGGATGTTAAGCGGGTAGCTTCCTCCAGCTGCATAAGTAGACAACTTCTTTTTTCCTGAAGTAGAATTCTATAGATAAGAAAATAGTCAACTAGTGGATTAGAAAGGCAGGAGTATATTTTCTTAACAAGAAATTCAACTATAAATTCCCCAGAAGTGACTTAGGCTGAAAGGACTACCAAAATTCTAAAAGCATTTAGATTATAAGTGCCAAGATAATAAAGACTGGTTTTGTCTTGTTTGAAAAACACATCCCCAGCACTGGGAGCAGTGCCTGGTACTCTGTAGATGCTCAACATATGGGTGGGTGGGGCAGTAGATAAGTGGGAGGAGGAGAGGGTTCACGGATGGGTGAAAGGACAGATGCTTGAGTGGGTACGTGGACAGGTGGATGGGCCGGTGAGTATGTGGATGGCTATATGAATGGGTGGTGAGGTGAGTGGAGAATGTGAATGAGTAGAAGAGAGAGAACAATGGGAGACTAGACTTGAAGGTGGGTTCAAGTGTACAGCATATATTAATGTACTGGGATTCCTTAGAACAAATCCAATTCTAGGCAAAAACAACATAAAGCTTCACTGACATTACAGTAAAACAGGCTCTGCTCCATTATGCTCTGGCATGGGTGACCCACAACACTGTCCACTCAAAATATCTTCATAACTAGAGCCACTACGCAACCAATTTTAAAGCTGAGTAGCATATATTAAAATCAATGGTTTTCAACGTATGGTCCACAGACACAGGGGGATCGCCAAGACTCCCTCAGGGGTCATATGAAGTTCCCACTTTCCCAAATATATATCCTTGAGCAGCCAGATCATCTTCATATATTCACCACGAATGAGATTTCACAACAGGTCCATCAATCAAACAGCTGCCCTCTCGAAAGCCAAATGCTAAAGAGTTTTATAAAAATGTTAAATAATACCACTCTTCCATTTTTTTTGATTCAATAAAAGTTACCAGACATAAAAATGTTACTCATATATAATGGAGTTTTTATTGTTATCTTTAATTTTACAAATAACTGAAAAATTTCTCAGTTCTAATTTTTAAATCAGTAAATATAAACAGATAAAAATCCACATAAAATTCTTTAGGGTCTTTAGTAATTTTAATAATGAAAGGATGTCTTGGCACTCAAAAGTTTAAGAACAGCTATAATATTTTTAAGATTCCACTTACCTATAATTTTTAAGGAAAAATATTTTAATTTATTATTTGTACAAAGATAACTCTTAAAAAGCAATGCTTTGGAGGTTCTATACCATAAAGGAAGAGATATATGAGCACATAAGAAAGTGTAATGCCCTTGAGTGCTTAAAAATAATGCCAGTCACTTTATCTGTCATACCTCACTTCTTAGCACTCATTACATTCCATCCCCATTTTACAGATCAGGAAACTGATTCTCAAGGAGTAAAAGTAACTTACCTGCACTGTGCAAGTCCAAAGCTTGGTCAAGTTGGTTTAAACTCAAAGCCAAGAACTTTACTAAGACTGTGCTGTCCCTGCCTCCTGCCATTCAATTCTGCTGTTAATATGCATGGTAAGAAAGAGGGGCTTCCTTTAATCATGATATTTTCCCCAGATTTTATGTGACACTTAAATTCCTACCTAAGGCTTAGCTAGGGAAACAGTCTCAAAATCTCATCCTTTTTTTCCCCAGAAAATGTAGAGGGAAGAGTAAAAGAAAGGGAGCTTAAATTATGTCCCTCACTAAACCATCAAACTATAATTTGGAAACCACTCTTCATATTGATGACACTGGAGCTGAGATAGGCAAAGACTAGGCCCTGGACATGTACCTACCACAACTCAGCCCTAAGATGCCAACCTCAGTCCCTCTGTGCCAGCTCCATATTGGGTCTCCTAATGCCCACAGCCTGTGCTGGGAGAAGCCTCCTACCATGTGGCCCCACACTTCCTAAATCCAAGCTCACTTCAATTGAAGGGAAGTAGCACTGAGAAACATGCCCTGCATCCACTTGGCACAAAATGCCAAGATTTGCAGGAACCCTCATGGCCATTTGACTTCATCTCACAATGCAGTGGAGATCACAGACAAAGTACACGGGAGAAAAGTGTTTAGCACGTATATATGCTCCTCCTTAGCCAAAGTCATTTAGTGTCAGAATTAAGAAAAGGACTTGGGTCAATTCAGTCCCAGCTGACTGCTCTGGGTCACAGAACTGAGCACTTAGGCTGGTCCCACAAGAGATCTAGATCAAAGCTGCTCCAGATTTGGTGACCCATGACTTAAAGACAGGCATAAGGTGTTAACACTGTCCCCATGGAGTTCTGTGGATTTATACTCTGGAACCATGACACCTGTATGTGCTGAACTTCTATTTGGGGAGGACAGACACAGTCAAAGTGTACATGGGTGAGGTTTCCTGGGAAGCAGGTGGAATTTGTGGACCAAATCTACCCCCCTTAACTGAGACCAACAGGAACTCCAGGCTCTCCTACCCAGAACATACACAGAGAACACCAAGGTAGAACAAAAGGTAATGTTTAAGAAAATATAGAAGCACAAGAGCACAAAAGAAAAGTTCAGTTGCATTGTTCCTTTTAAGATTTTCTCTTGGTTCTTGGTTTGAGTGAGATGGCAGAGCATGCTGTCATCTTAGGCAAATGAAAATTCACTCTACCTATTACTAGGATCTGGATCCTCCAAACCCCATCATGTCCCTTCAATGCTTTCAGGAGCCCCTAATGCCACGCCAGACTCATCTACCCTCAAAGTTAACATTGAGCATCCAAGCACAAAGATTACCCAACAGATACCAAGAACAGTCATAAGATATGATGAAATATTAGTTATATGTGTATCTACGCAGATCAAATAATTCAGGTGGCTTAAACTCTAGGCAGAGAAGACTCAGAGAGATACAACTTACAGCTGTGTGAATAGTGTTAATACAGTGAATTTTAGGGACGCAGTATATTAATAAATGGGAAGTGGGCTCTCCAAGGGTCAGAAAATAGCCACAGATAAACTGCTGACAGTTGTTAAATGTGGAAAACAGACCTAGCCTTTGACACACTCCGCAATCGCAGGCAGCAAATGGAAACCAGGAGACATGGCACACGATGAAAGCTGAACAACTTGGCACTGAAGAATACAAAAGACACTGGCTTCATGTGTCCTGTGCTTAAAAGAGCCTCAAGTCCAACTGAGGAAAGGCACATTCAGAAACAGACCCATAAAATCTGCTGACTTCCTACTGCAAAAGAAAGATCAGGCTTCCTTGGCTAGAAATTGAAGTCAGAGATAAAAGCAGTAGGTAGACTACCACAGTGCCACAGGGAACATTTTCCAAGGTAACAGAGTACCCCTGCTCTGGAGCTGTACCACCATTTGCCTCCTTATCTTCTTGCCAGGCCTTCAAGTCTGTTCAGGGCACTGTCCCACAAATATAGGCAAAAGCACCAAGCACCTATGCCAGGAAAGGTGCAGCGGAGGTGGTTCATCACCTGTCTCTACTTTCTCTGTCCTCCTTCTCTAACATCTTCTACTTCTGAGCCACTAACAGGAGCCTCAGGAGCCTGGCAAGCAGCTGACACCTCTCCCGGCCCAGAAGGCATGTGCTCTGCCTGCCCTCTACCTGACAAAGATACATGCCAGGCAGTAGCTGCTTTCATTAGAGGTTAATTAAGCACCTCCAATATGAAAATCCAAAACACAAAATGCTGTAGAATTCCAAGATTTTTGGCCCACCCATGTGGTACATAATGTTTTAGATTTTGGAGCACTTCAGATTATCAGATTAGAAGTACTCAGTTGATGAAATTCATGCAAATATTCCAAAATCAGAAACACTTTGGGGTCCATGCATTTCAGATAAAGCATATTCAACCTGTAATAATCAGGAACACACTCAAGATACATGCAAGCCATCCATTTAGTTTTCCCAATTGGCTCTTCACTGGAAGCAGTGTCCTGCCTGCCCCTGAACCTCTGGAGAGCAGCCCACCTTTCTGTGGCACCCTGTGCAGATGTGGCCCGTGCACGCTGGATCTCCTCCTCTAGGCGCCTCCTCTCTTCTTCCAGCCGTGTCACATCTTCTGCTGACCTCCGCTGCTGAATGATGAGCTGCAGCTCTTGGAGCAGGGCCTCTTTCTCTTTGATGAGCTGCAGCCGGTCCCTGTCAGCCTCGGCCATGCCTGGCCATGACTCATTAGCAAGCTGGGCCAGCTGCTGCTGAATACTGGAGACTCTGAGAGTGAGTGAGTGAGTGAGAGAGAGAGAGAGAGAGAAAGAGAGAGAGAGAGGGAGGGTGAGGAGATATACCAACAAACTGAAAAATATGTTTTTTATACATTCTTTGTACCATCACTGATTCTATAAACTCACTTGTTTAAATAGTGAAATGACTGCACCAGGACTTGGAAATGATGGGTCATGAAAACAGTATAAAAATCCTTTGTATAGTCTCCCATAGTCTGAGGTTTGAGACAATAATAATTTCATCGTGTTTGTGTCAAAGAATTAATAAAAAGGCTAGAAGTCCTCAACATACCCTTACTGTGTGTCATTTTGGATTCCTGTTTTTCTACATGATACTGTCCCAGGGGAGAAGGAAGCTATTCATTTCTTCCCCTCTTCATCCCACCCTCATCCATAGCTAGACACCCAAGAGATGCTTCTGGCTTTCTGACTCCTTGGTCAAGCCTAAGTGCTACCAGACACCTTGGAAAAATAACAGGAGAGAAATACACTCAACCAACAGGGCTTCTGAAGAGAACAGCTCCGAAACCAGTGTTCTATGTCTGCTACTTCTGTGTGCTCTGTCCTGCCCCAGAGACTTTGGCCAGATGTGAATGCAAAGAGCCTTGCAGAGGACAGGCACTCAACAAAAGCCAAGTGCATCAAACAGTGGGTAGGCATACCAGCAATACAGGAAAGCATGAGAGGCAACCCCGTGAGAGTGGATATTGGCAGGAGATACTCTAAGACCAGACACAAACCAGTCAACCTCACCAAAGTTATCAGCACAACAAACCTCAGGGTATAAAACTATAGACTCTCACCACTGAATTTCCAAGTGCTTGCTTGGCAAGCAGACTGCATCACTTTTTATGTCCTGAAGTGGTGTCAAATGCAGATTAAGTAAAATAGACGTGGCTTGTGCTTTTAAAGCATACTTTAAAGTGGGAGCAGTATGTTTTAAGCTCCTTAAGTAAGGCCTTCCTGAGATAAGGGCACTTTCCAGGCAGAAACTAGGAATACCAGACTCAACTTCAACCCGATGCTATAGGGGACAATATTTGGCATGCATGCCTAAAAATATCCAAAGACTTCTTTGAGATAACACACCTGTGAGAGCAAGGAGCAGGTATATATAACTCTAAGGCAGAGAATCTTAAAGTAGGGTCCTGGAACCAGCAGACTCAGCATCACCCAGGAGCTGTTACAAAGGCAAAGCTCAGGCACCACCCTGTATCTGCTGAATCCAAAGATGTGGGTTGGGATCTGGCAATCTTGACACGCCTTCTGGGGGCTTCTGATGCTCGCTCAAGTTGGACACCCACTGCTCTCAGACAGCGATGCCTCTCTGCACCCCTGCCTGGTCTGGAGGGTGCTAATTGGCCCTGGAGTTTTCAGGGGTTTGCATTAGGCAGTGATAGGATGATGATCCTCACTAAAGCAGATGCAGGGCAAAAACACTCCTGAGACTACCCACCTCCAGTTCCCATAATGCATGCCACTAATTGGGTTCTGGCTTCCTGACTGCTGAGTCCAACCCTCAGAATCCTTCTCAACACTGTGCTCCACACAAATGCCACCAATTGACTGTAGGTGATGCACCCGTTAAAACCCGTTGTCCAGTCCTGTGCCATGTCAGGCTCTGCCTGATCTAGATATGAGCACAGGGGTTTTTCAGTCTGGCTGGAGGATCAGACACAATTCCTCTCCAGGTATTGAACCAATCTGAAGCCAACAGTCATGGAAAGAGAAGGGTATACAAGCTATAGCTTAAATGTACACATTTCACCAAGCCCAGTTATCCAAAAAGGTAAGGAAACTAGTTGAGTGCCAGTGGCTTTATTAGACAAATTCTTTTCCCAACTTCAAACTAATTTCCTGAAAATGTGTTGGAAAATGATATCCAATCATGTCACTGAAAAAAACTAATGACAAAGGCAGCTGAACAGAGTTAGGAATATAACTAGGTTTAAGTGTCTACTTATGTTTAATTAGTCTAATTAAAATTCATGGCAGTCATATAACTGAGGCCTAAGGAAAATACACTCCAAGTAGACATATGAATAAATTAGTGCCAAATCAGACACTATGCCCAATGAAATTTCTAGAACACTCTACTGTAAACCAAGACAAGTTAAAGGTAAAGATTAAAAACAAAAGACTTGAAAAACAATGAGAAAATCTACTATGTCCTCATACTTTTGTTCATTTCAACTCATGGGATCCACAGATCAGCCTATCTGAGCCCATCTAAAGCTAACCAGATCTAATTGTCATACTATAATATAAATATTTTAGCCTATCTGAGCCCATCTAAAGCTAACCAGATCTAATTGTCATACTATAATATAAACATTCTTAAAAGCAGTCCTTTCAAGTTTTCTGAATTTTTCTGTTGTTCTTTTGTTGTTGTTCTTGTTTTTATGGTGCTGGGGATGGAACCCAGGGCCTTATGCATGCTAGGCAAGCACTCTACCACTGAGGTACACCCAGTCTGAAGCTCCTGAGGTTTAAATGTGAGATATAATTCCTTTGAGTATACCAGCCATAGGTTAGCTGGTATTTACAAGGATTCAAGTTGATGAGGGTGGTAGGAGATCCATTTCCAGATAATTATACCACTTCCAGGAAAATTTCAAGTAATGAGCACTATCAAGAAAAAAGAATGAGGGGAAAATGAATAGGAGGGATGAGAGAATCAGGGGCAACTTTCAAAAGGCCTATCACCCCAGGCAAAAAGAAATAGTACAGCAGCAAAAATTAAGGCATGTACTCTGACTTTCCATAGCTTGCAGGAAAAATATGCAAGGACATATGGGAAGGAACAACACTCCAGCAGAAACAAGATCCGGATGAGGCTGATTTCTTACAACCCATCTGGAAAAGTTGTTTGGACTGTGCTGAACACTAAGCAAGCATTTCCGTACTTAAGCACTGTGTTTTTTAAAGTAAAACTTCACAACAATGTAAATGACTGCAAGTTAATTTTCAAACTATTTATGAAAGAAGAATATTGGCATATACTAGGAAGTGTTTTCTTTCCTTGTATTCATACTCTGGGTGTGGACATTTGGGGCCCCCTTCAGCTAGGTCAGCATAGGCACATCTGTTTGTCTGTTCTGGAAGCCAAAAGCACCTTGTAGAAGGATTCCTTCAACAGCTCATACATTCCCCTTGCCTTTCAAACAGTATGCCTGCCTGCCATGCTGTGGGCCTGGAAATGAGCCATCAGCAGGAAGTATCTTTAGTATGGGAGGTTTACCGGAGGAAACAGACTTCCTGCCTAAGGCTAAACACAGATGTGCTGAGGTTGGATGCACCTTCTTCTATATCCATGTCAAAAAGCTAAGCCACTCACTGTTTGGGCCCCATTCCTGTGAGGGCCATCATTCCAATTCTGGGCATTAAAGGAAAAGTAATTTCCAGAAATGCTTTTTGTTGAATTATCATTTTAGTGAAATTAAATACATGGAAGCAAAGCAAAATCATGATTAAAATTTGCAGGAAAAAGAAAAACTTCTCTGAGCTCATTTTTTAAAATTTATATAGTAGTTATACAGGGGATATATTGTAACATTTACATATGTGCGTACAATATATCTTAATTAGAGTCATCCCTCTATCATTCTCCCTCATCCCTCCTTCCCTCTTCTTTTTTTTTTTTTTGCTAGTTTAAACTCCTAGCAAGCCTTATGCTTGCTAGGCAGGCACTCTTACCACTTGAGTCACTCCGCCAGCCCATCCTTCCCTCTTCTGAGAACAATTTCAACAAGTTCCATTGTTCTATTTTCTTACACAAATACAAAATAATCCACCACCATATTCACCATCCTTTACCCTCTCTGTTTTAAAGAGAATAGAGAGCCATTTAAATATGGCACGTTTTTCTTTTTTTGTACAAGTCAACTATCTGCTTTATTGATCTTTCTTTTTGGTAGGTTATAGATTGTATAGCCTATATATAATCTTTCACAAATATCTTTAAAAGCTTTTTTCTTGTACAGTTCTGGGATTTGAACTCAGAGACTCACACTTGCTAGGCAAGCTCTACAACTTGAGCCATGGCTGCTGCTCTTTAAAAGCTTTAAAACATATGTCCCCATGCCCTAACAGAGAAGAAATGAAAGCAAGCCCTTAAGTAAGAATTTGGGTTTCATATTTATTATGTGACTTCTAAATTCTATTCCCTGAGCAGGTCTAATGTAGACAGAAGTAAAACAGGAATCATTTTTCCCTTATGATTTCTTCCCAAAGACCTTCTCTGTTACAAGTAGTCACATTAAACCATGAATGAAACCTCAATTTCTGCTGCAGAAACTACTTTGGCCCTCACAATTCACATGAACATTTGAAATGATTTGCATTCTTCCTTAAAAATATACTTTTAATATTAAAAAGTTTTGAGGCACATCAAGAGCAATTGCCAGTTATCTGAATACCTAAAACCTGTAGTCTACTATATAATCTCTCATGTTCCTAAAATCCTGCTGCTTTCTAGAATAGCAAACAGAACTGCAGGCGACCCACCATTCTATTTGACGGTGACCAGTCATGATGGATCCTAATGCCACCTTCCATGACATGATGTCAACTTAAAGACCCATGCCTTCAGATTTCAAGTATGTGCTACAGATTTGGTATTTCTCACATCTTCTCTCAGTTTTTTAAAAATATCTATTTAAATTAAATGAAAGCAAAGTTTAAGGAAAATCTCAGCTGAGATCTAAGGTAGATGAACAATGAAATCACTTCAGCTGATTGAACTAAACATTGATAAATCAGTGTCCATTATGCTGACCTCCATAAGAACGTTTAGTCCAAGAAGGGTCTACCAATAATCAATGTCCCACCCAGTCCTCAGCTTCCCCCCCAACATCTTCTCCCCTGGAATGTACAAATCTTCAGAGAGCAAGTTCCTAAATACAGCAAGTCTTTTGGTTTATCTTGACCCAAATGGGGAAGACAGAGTTGCAATTTCAATGATGCTTTTCTTTATTTCTCATAGCTGTA